AACTAAAGATGACTTCGCGTAATCACCCTAGAGCAAACGGTCAGGCTGAACAGATGAACCGGATTGTGCAGGAGTTTGGAAGTGGCACTACATCACATCCCATCAACTTGAGTGGGATGATAAGCTGCTGCCACAGATTGCTGGTCTGAACAACAACAATGTTGTGCAGAGATGTGCGATTACGACAGAATCTAGCTTAAAAGGTAGGTTATGAACTAGGGATGACTTCGAGTAATCACACTAGAGCAAACGATCAGTCAGGCTGAACAGATGAACGGGGCACTGCATCACATGCGATCAACTTGAGTGGGATGATAAGCTGCTGCCACAGATTGCTGGTCTGAACAACAACAATGTTGTTGTGCATTCAGCAGTTGGACGGACGCCTAACCAGCTACGCTTAGGATGGAAAGCCAGGATGCCGCCGGGCTTTGCTGTTTCTTGATACGAAGTCTGCTACAACACCTAGAACTACAGAATATGCTCCGAGTGTGTGAAGACGCTGCAGAAAACTGTAGAAGAGTTGCAAAAAGATCGTGGGCGACGATAGCATCTGAAAATCAGCACAAACCGATGCCAACATTTCAGGTGGGTGATATCGAGCATGGGTTACGTCGTCATCGGAGTTCACAGCGGAAGAAGACATATCAGTAATGGCAGAATACTTCGGTCACTGGCCTATCTGAGATATAGTAGGAACGCTCCTAACGGGCAGTCCTACGCAAAATATGTCCCTCCCGATCTTCATACCTACCCTGTCTTTCATGCTTCCAAACTCCTATACTTTTCCCAAACCGGTCAGTTTCCTTCTCGACGATCAATGCTGCCATCTACCATGGATGGATACAACATCGGCCGCATTGTGGAACATAAAGAGATGCTCGTACGAAAGCCTCCAGGGAGGGTAGGACCACTGAACCCAAGGTGGGTTTCAGACATCACCTGGATCCTGGGGCAGATTGGTGGCCACAAGCGAGGAACTGACGAAATCCACTCCTCAGATTGTTCTGCGCTATGCAAGGGCGCTGAAGGGAAAGCAACGGCAAGATTGAAGAGGGACTCAGAGAGAGGACTTTCGAACCAGACGGGGAGGGAATGGGAGGCTCCAGGACTCCATGGCCTAAGACTGCCGCTGGGAATGTGCCCAGCCGCCTAAGTGAAGGTGGCCCTGGGATATTCACGCCGGTCGTAACTGAAGACTGGCAAGGGGTCCTATGGGTTTGTTGCCAGGAGCCAACCCCTATAACTAACTGGTAGGCCCAACCTGCGAGTTGGTTACGGAGAGTGGGACCTGGACACTGTCCCAGTGGGCCGCAGGCACCGCCTACAACCGCTGTAACTAACTGGTAGGCCCAGGCGGCGAGTTGGTTAGAGATGGTGGGGCCTGGACACTGTCCCAGTAGGCCCAGTAGGCCCCAGACACTGCCAACTGGGTCTGGCATGGCCTCCACTCCGGCATAAAAGTCTGGAGGCTGCGAGGCAGAGACATTCGGGCATGAGGCTGCATGGCGTGACTGCTGTTGCCAGTGAGCAGGGAAGCAGTGCCCGAAGAAGGAGAGCAGCTGTGGTGGCTGTGGCTGTAGTGAGTGGCAGCCATAGCTGGGCGCATGGAAGCTGAGTGGCGGAGTGTGGAGGTTCCGGCAGTGGGTTCCGCCAGTGGGGACTGGCGGTTCTCATGTGGTGTTGGTGGAGGAGGCCTGTATGAGCAGAGTCTTCGAGCAGCAGCAGTGGGCGAGTGAAACGTGGACAGCAAGTGAGGTGGTAGAGAGAGTTGCATGTTTAGAGGTAGTAGGAAGTTAGATTAGGGCGGTGACACCGCAAGTCGGGCTACTACATTGTTGTTCCATGATTGGAGGCAGAAATTGGGCTTTCTTTATCAAGAGACGTCAGCGATCTGTTTGCTCCATATTGGTGTGCATTCCGCTTTGGTTTTCTGCCTTCAACTCGGCTCAATCAGGTACGGTCCTTTGTGAGATTTTGCAATCTGGAATATTGGTGTTCTCATTGCGTGGTTCCTTACAGCACTACAGCGTGCCAGGTTTGATTTCATGAAGGTAGAAGGTTTTCCATGGGGCATTCTCTGAGGTTTATGGGACACACGTAAATGATGTACGGAAATAATGAAGAGTTCTAAAGAGTCTAAACATGATCATCATGCACGAGGGAGGCGCCTGGCACATGCATACCCAGTGTGCATGCACATAAAAAAAAAAGTGCCAAAACCAAAAACAAATTCACAACAAACTTGAACAAAGTGACGAAAAAGTCAGAGAAACGTTATTTCGAGCAACGTCTGGTCGGGAGGCTGCTCAGGTCTGTTGGATGTACAAAAACCAGACCCAAGTCGGGTAGGCGTTATTTTTGTTGGATTTACAAAAAGCGCGGCCTGCTCAGAAGGAGTGGACCTGGAGGACGTGCAGATACCCAAGTGCATGATCTGCACCTGGACGTGCAGAGGGCGAGATGCGTTCTGACAAGCTTTGTTTTTTTGCTCCCCCCCCAAAAAAGAAAAGACCTCCAGTGTGTGAGACTGGAGTGATAAAGGTCTCGATGACAAATTTTCAGAATTATTTTCAAAGAATGATTTTCTAGTTTTCGGTGCACTGCCTAGAGTAGTTATAGATCCGAGCGTCTAGGCCTAAGGCTCTCCTCCGTGCAAGCACGGATTCAAACGGGCGACCTCGGCCTCAAGTGCCAAGGCTTTTAACCACTACAGCCAGGACAAGAGTGGAACCATACTGATCGTGATATCCACCCCATCCCTGCAAGGCCGTCGTGTCCAACTCAACACACAACACACACAACACCACATGGACGCAGCACACAGATGCGGCAATTCTCGCACACTTTGCTCCAATCAGCACGTGACCCCCACTGGTACCTCGCCCGCTCACACACACGGGTCTTACCTTGCCCGTGGGTTCACAGGAGCCTCCACAGTAGTTATAGATCCGTACATCTAGGCCTGAGGCGCTCCTCCGTGCAAGCACGGATTCGAATCAGCGACCTCGGCCTCACGAGCCAAGTCTCTTAACCACTACAGTTTTAGTGCACTGTACAGCAAACCGCACAAGGCACACATGCAGGGCAACTATGCAAGAATTTTGGGAAGAACCCCTGTTCACCTCCCTTTCGCACAAACAAACAACATAAGAAGTGAAGAGACACAAAAACAAACAGAAAATGTGGCAGTTGATGGGTTTTAGGGGGCTACGATGGTATGACTGACCTCATCTGTTCCTCCACCCACACAAGGGCAGCACTGCCGACTTCTGTTGTTACATCCCTGCAACAAAGAGATCCAAACAGCTACCCAGCCAATGGCAACCTGTATGAGCCCTTCGAGTCCTGAGGATTGAATATACACAAAAACCACCCGCAACAAAATGGAACCAAAATAAGACTTTCGCTTCATCTGTAACCCAAAAACACAGAAAAAATAACTTTTCTCCTGAGCCTCCGGTCTGTCCACTCTTCTGCCTTCATGCACATGCACCCCACAGCATACGTGAAGGCGCACAGTTGATATACTTATTTCACCACTACAACTCGTAGTAGCTGCTGCTACCTCTACTACTACCACTACTACCACCGCTACTGCTTTTACTACTGCTGCTGCTACTACTACTACTACCGCTGCTGCTACTGCTCCTATCGCTCCTGGTTCTGCTGTTGCAGCAACACTGATGTTGCTTGGACATAGCCTTAAACAACATTCAATGCTCCAACATGAGTAGCGAATCCCGCAGGTCACTCCTCTGCACACCCAAAGTAATCATACATTCCAATTATAACGTACATAGTACATACCGAATGCAGAACAAATGCCTGCCTAGCCAAGAGAAATCCCCATTGCTGAAATTACCACACAAGAAACCTTCCACTTCCTCCCTCATCTCCTCCCTGGCTTATCCATCCAGCGGTCCACAAAGCTTGGCACACCAGCAATGACGATACGTCACTCCTTGCGTCTTCCACTAGATATCAAGTGTTCCTGCAGACCTGTGCAGCTTACGGATCCCGTTACCACAGAGTACAGTGAATCAAGAGAATGCACTGTTTCCCCGATAGAAACTGGATCCAGCAATGTCTCCTGACCAGGACGACAAACCCGAAAGCAATGCTTGAAGGATTGAAAACCTTCAGCTCAGGCAGAAGAATCGAAAACATTAAACCGCTCGCTAGTACATGGCCGCAGCCTTGCAGAATGCTTTTGTCGCCACAGGCAAAACTCGGATGTGCCGCGCGGTCAGGGGCGCCTTTGAAACAAAAAAATCGGCGGCCTCTGAAGTGGTGCGGGTTTCATGCCGACGCCTGCGGGCCAATGTGTGGTGTACTGGTGCGTTAAGAGAAAATAGCCAAATGAAAAAAAACAAAACGAACTAGCCTGCATCGAGCATGTGCTACTTGGGGAGCCTCCAGCTCAACTCAAACTATTTGTCAAGAATACATCTGAACTGTAAAGCACTGATAAGAAAAAAGGAAAGGGAAGGAAATCGCGGATAACCGACCAAACTAGGCACCCACCAGATTCATAATGGACTCCTTCCTATTCCGTGTCCTTGCACAGCCGCCTGGTTCCTCCCCCTACTCTATAGGCTGTATTCACAGTTATCAAGAGCGAACACTCATCTGGTCCTTCGCATCCCCTACTCTGCGCAGACTCTAGTCACAGTGCAAAATATCCTGTCTTCCCAGGATCTGGGGGATGCGATGCGCTCGATTTGTTGCAGATCAAATCTGGCTGGCAACAGGATTTGCCACCTACAGATGACTGCTTTCCCAACTCCAGTGTTCATTCAATACCTGTAATCGACTACAACGGTCAATCGCAGTGACTGAACCCAACTGGTGCCTTTCGTATGCCAGCAGTAGATACAGTTGATTCCTCAAAAACTACAATGATCGCACCTAACTGGTGCAATCGTAGGTGTCGCTCGCCCCCTATGGGTATCGAGTCTATAGACGGATCGCTTATAACCTTACATTCCAACCTCCTCATCCAAAGTGCACAATGTGCAATGCTAAGCTCCTCCTCCTCCTGCTGCTCCCCCTCACACCCTCGTCCTCAATATTCCTCCCATGTATCGGTAGGTATCCTCCCTGTCCCCCGATTATACACTATGGAAAGATACCACCCGCTACCGAAAGGGGTGTCTTCTTTCCATTACCAGTGGTCAGATTAGTCAAAGAGGGGAGAAAAAAAGAAAAGAAAAACACAAAATAATGAAACAAAAGATAACAGAATACAAGCCTGCTCACTACCCTCCCACACTTGGCCTGCATGTGCACCGCCTCTCTACCACGCAACTGTCTCCTCCGCCTGTTGAAGGAATGCATGCTACTCCTCCCCTCAGATGACAGCTGGGCGAACTTCAAACGAATCAACTGTTGATGAGTTCCTTGCATTATCTGCATACCAGGAAACGGCTGCACTATGTTCTCGCTGAGATATGTTCGCTGTAGTTTTTTCTTTTGGCTCGCTCATGCGTGTGAAAAAAAGAGTGACAGCACACACAAGAGAGCAAGAGCACGCACATGCACACACGCATGTGTGCATGAGAGAGAGAGAGAGAGAGAGAGAGAGAGAGAGAGAGAGAGAGAGAGAGAGAGAGAGAGAGAGAGAGAGAGAGAGAG